TGTGTGTGTGTGGGGGGGGGGGGGATCGGAAAGTATTTGAACGTTTTTTACAGTGCTGGGTAATTCCTTATATCATTTTTAGACAACTGTAGTTAATAATAAAATGAGTGAATTTAGAGATAATTTGTGAATACCTGATATCCATTAACACTTATGAAGAGTACTTTTGTTCTGTGGGAAATAAGACACGGCAGCAGTAACATGTTAGCAGTTACTTTCTTGTCAAAACAATATTTTGGTATATTTGGTGTTACACTGACAATCAGGCAACATAACTGCATAAATTAATACTATTTTCAAACTCAAAGCATATTTAACATTAGTTAAAAATGGTCAAGCGGAAATGCAAAAATAAAGACAATTTTCAAACAGCATATTAAACTGGCATATGTAAATGCCTTTCAACATCAAGTCATTTACATAATTTATCTTGCTCAAGATTTAGATTCTGTAAACAAATTCTTCTTCCATATTGAAAACAACCTACTAGGGGCATGTAGAAATCAAACAAAATGAATAATACAGAAATTATTAAATATTTTAGATGCAAAATGATGACAGATTTATCTGTTATTAAGATTAAAGCAGGGCTGGAGTGGGACTCATTTTCAGCCCTGGAGTTTCATGCCTTAGAAACATTCCACTTTGGGGGGTTTTTTGTTTGTTTTTTACTGGCCTTTTCAGTGCCGCCTTTGCGCTTTCTATTATACATTTTTTATCTATTATTTTTTGCTCGCATATCTCCAACAATTACTCTTTTTTTTTTTTTTAGCAAGGTTCCTCTGTCAGGGGAGTCAAAAGATAATTACGTCATCATTGCCAATTAACATAAGAAATGGAAAATAAGGGACAATTGTGATTCTTTATTTTATTCTTTAAGAAAATAGTGTTTATTCTTTAAGAAAATAAGGGACGTTCCAAATATTTGTACTGTACCATAATGTAGTAGGCCCAAGTCTGCCTGCAGTTAAAAAGTTCTCAGAAATAATCACAATTGTTTTGCTTAACCTATTTGCTTAAATGCCATAATTAGTTAAATTTGTTACTGTAGTAGAACGAAGGTTTATTTGTACTATGCCAGATACTACTTTAGTATTTAAAATACATTTTACAGAACGTTCAAGCAGATGCACATTTGGTTTACTTACCTCCAGCTTACTGAGACCTGCATGAACAAACACAACCAAACCTCTGTCTGTGAATTATCACTGACGCACATTAATCATTCATTCGCTTTGTGCTCGATTACGGCACAAACTGATGAATATAGGTCAACATTAGTAATGTTACGTATGACACTGAAGCTTCGAGGCACCTGTTTGAGCAGGCAAAACATGCTCCAATGAAGCTCAGTATCAGGGTTGCCAGGTTTTCACAACATTACCTCCTTAAAATGGCTCCCCAAAACCAGCCCAATCCGGTGGGGTAAAATACACAGGTTTTTTTTTTTTTTTTGGTGTTGTTCCCCTGGTAAAATTCGTATTCCATGGTTTAAATATCACGTTATTGGGGTCGCTTCAACCCGCGGCAACAGTGTTAAAGTAGCCCGATTGCGCGGAAAAAACAAGGACCTGGCAACACTGCTCAGAATCAGAGTCACGTGATCGATTACAAACGATGTTTCACCGTCTGTCCGTGTCGTAAAATAAAATAAAATAAAATAAAAACCTCACTATTCTTGTGTTTCATCATAGTGAATTATAGTAGTTCATACGCTCAATTACTGCCTCACTTAATGGGTAAATCAATTTATCACACACACACACACACACGTGGTAAGCTTTTAATTGTACACAAAACATTGAAGCTATTTATGGCGGGTGTGCACTTGCTAATAGTTAAATATTAGTGTGCAATAAATGGTTTAGAAGGTACCGGACAAATATGCTTTATGTTCAATACAGTAATTCTATCCCCTCAGTTATAAAAAAGACACAACTGTGATGCTGTTTGCAAACACTACACTGGGTGACAAATGTGGTTCTGCCTGGGGGCGCATCTCTGCTTACAATCCATAGACTGTAAAAATATACAAACTAAAAAATATACAATTTATATAATATCATTACATAAAATCTGTTATCCAATAGCGCCTATGGTTACCATGTGACAACGCCGTCTAAATACTACTACTACTACTAATAATAATAATAGAAACTTTGAAAGTGGTTGACTAAATAAACATAAAATTATCAAAACAGAAATAATTAGTATTCAGACAATTCATGGCTGTAAACCTGAACAAGTAGGCAATGACTGTAGACAAAGACAAATGTATAGTACAAAGCACAAAGCATTTTTGACACAAATGGAACCCCATAGTACATACCCGCCCCGCCCGTTCTGGTGCTCTCTGCTGCCTTTCTATCTGCTCATGTCTGTGATGTTTACTGAAATCACGGAAGGCAATTCTCGCGAGATATGCCAGTCTGAAACGGTTCCTTTAAGGTGAGGTCCTGAAAGCTTAATCGTATATTATAGTCCTCAAACAGTAGTGCGATTATTCTTTGAAGTGTGTTTCGCAGATTAAATGTTGTAATTTTCAAACCAGCGCTAGTCTTTCAGCGATAGGAGAGTGTTTTAGAAGGGAAAGCGACGCAGCTCTTTGTTGCTACACATGGCGCTGGGCTTAAAGCAGTTTATTCATTTATTACTGCGTTCAAAGACCTTTGACATACTGTAGATATAGCCTACATGAAGATTCACAGGCGCATAACACAGTTTGTGATGCAATCAGAACACGATCTGCACTGTACTAGACTGTGTTTACAGCTCGTGCACAGTTGTGTCGCATGATTGTAGCATGCATGCATTTACTGATATTTCTGTAAAATGTTTCATTAAATTGGCTTATAAAGCGGTTTGGGTCCAAATATGGAAATAACATTGGTTCTGAATGATTATCATATTACTGTACCATAGTATTTACATGGTACTTCAAATAATTATATATATTTTTTTAATGATGCATGGTTTGTCACAACCCAAAAGTGTTGTTGGTCTGTTCTGATGGGTCAGTGATGGGAAAGGGAAACAGATCTAAATAGAAATGTAACTGCCTGTGTGAAAACACCACACTTTAGCATACTGTACTTATGCTGGGAACTGAATGTGATAAAGGTTTCAGACACTTAATTGCATGTTGATAGAAATTAAATGAAAATGCATTAAAATTTAGAGCTTTTAAGCCCACTTAAATATATCTTCTTATGTAATTTCATAATTTTATTGGTTTTGAAATATGGTTAAAGTGTACTTCTGAATGTGCTGACAAGCATTTTTGGTAAACTAAAATATACTTCAATGCAATTTCTGTTGTCATGTATTTAAATATATCTAATTACACTTTTTTTTTAATGATAAAGTTGTAATTTGTATAATTTAAAACATTAACTTGTGTGCTTTAGTATGTTAGTCAACATCAAAGTAAGTGTACTTTCAAGCACAATGAAAGATTAAAATATACTTTACTTTATATACTGTTAAAATATCATTTGAACACAAAAAAGATATGGTATAACCAAACAGTTTCTGGTCCCCATTGACTTCCATAGTTGTTCAAAATATCTTCTTTTGTGTTCAACAGAAGACAAAAAACTGAGACGTTTGGAACAACTTGGGTGAGTAAAAGATGACAGATTTTTATTTTTGGGAGAACTATCCCTTTAAGTGGCCTGTTATTTCATTAGCATAATATTGTCTGTAAGGACAGGTTTTTTAAAATATACTTCTAAGATTTAAGGTACACTAAAAGTGCATATTCAATTCAACTAAGCACACTTTTTTTTCACAAGCGTGTGCATAGTTCGATTTGCATATAGTAAACAGGCTTATATAGGGGGAGGAGAAAATGCTTCCCAGATCCTTTGTTTTACTTGGTAGAAGCCAGTCAAATTAGACCCATTGTGTGACATGCTTTCATCCTCAAAAACCATGAACAAGACTATTCAAAGTAAAAGAAAATATGACCCAGAATACATTAAATATGGGTTTGGTGTTGTGTTGCTCGCCATTTGATACCCATCTAGGTTCAAAAAGCAAAACCAGCTGAGAGCTCTATTTCAAACTGTTTCAACTTTTTCCTTTTTAGATTCATGCTCACTGTAACAGCATCATGTCTCAACCGCCAGCCTCATCTGTTCTCGCCCTGCATTCAAAAACACACAAGGACACAATCCTGCATGAATTCGACAAGCTCAGAAGAAGGGAACTGCTCTGTGACATAACCCTCATCGTAGAAGACGTGCACTTCAAGGCACACAAGGCTCTTTTGGCAGCGAGCAGTGAGTATTTCTCATTAATGTTCACCGCTGAAGATCAGGTAAGCCAGTCGGTGTACAAGCTGGATGGCATGGCTGCGAAAACCTTCTCGGCCGTGCTCGAGTTTATCTACAGCGCAAATGTGTCTGTGGACGAGAGCAGCTCTGAGCAGCTGCTTGACATGGCACGGTTTCTGGACATCCGAGATTTGCTCAAAGCCCACGAGGACCTTCAAAAGGACAGTTCAATGGCTGAAAATGTGATGTCTGCCAAGGGAGACAGTGTTGATGAATGCATACAGACAAAGCGTAAAAGAGGGCGACCGAAAAAGAGCCTTCACACTCAGGATTCAAGCCAAAAAGAGGATCCAGACACTGGTTTACCAGCACAAAGTACCTCTGAGTCCACAGAACCCCTCTTAGATCCCACTTCCCCACCGAGAGACTTCAGCGACAGCGACTATAACCCCAGAGAGGACCGACCCCGTCACAGCAAGCGCAAAATAAAGCGGCCTGTCAAGCTGAAGGGATACAGGTTAGGAGACGAGCTCTCGGAGTGCAAGGAGCCGGGGAAGAGAGGACGCAAGAGGAAGTACCCAGACACAGAGGCCAGGTGTGACCCGTGTGGGAAGGTTTTTAAAAGCCATCTCTTTCTGAAGATACATCAACGCACTCACACAGGTAGAACTCCGTTTCTATTATTCTATACAATCGACTGAAAAGTAATGAGGGAACATGCAAATGAAAAACACAAACAGAAATAAAATTCAACACAATCTTGTCTAAACGGAATTCAATCTAGCATGTATGTATTCTGTTCACTTTTACATGTAGTATCATTGATATTTTGAATTAGATTTTATTTTTATATATTCTGTTTTCGCAATGTAGTAATTTTGTTGTGTTTTTGTCACTTTTATTAGTTTTTGTATTTTTTTATGTCGTATTAGTTTGTCTGTTTTTATGAATTTTATTTAGTAGCTTTAGGTTTAGTTATTATAGTACTTCAGCTTTAAACGAAAATGTTGCCTCAGCAACTAGCTGAAATAAAATAAGTTTATGCTTTCTTAAATTTTATGTTAGTTGATGTTAAAAAAATTATTGTTTTTAGTTTATGATAATAATAACCCTGTTTCTGTTAATTATATGTCAATGTTATTTTAGTATCATTAATATACCCTATTATAGTTTTTGTTAATATTTTAAATTATATAAAATTTTTGTATTTACTGTTTGTACTTAGTTTTAGTATTTTTGTCATTTAAAAAAAAAATATATATGTCTATATTGTTTTTATTAATTGTATTTATTATTTTTAGTTATTTTAGTACTTAAAGTTAAAGGGGTCCTATTATGCTTTTTCACTTTTTCAACTTTAGTTAGTCTGTAATGTTGCTGTTTGAGCATAAAAAAGATCTGCGAAGTTACAAAGCTCAAAGTCCACTTCAAAAGGAGATGTTTTATTTAACAGAAATCGCTTTTCAAAAACTACAACGAACGACTCGTTTGGACTACAACGCATATTTTCCGGGATTTGTGATATCACAAATATCGACGAATGGGACGAGACCTGGTTGAGCTGCACTAGAGAAGGAAACGAGTGTTATCACTATGTCGGAGACGCGCTAGATTTCCCAAGCCAGACGAACTTAGAGTGGTTACAATCATCCGGGTTTAAATCGCGCTCAAATTGATTTGATATTGACGCAATATTTACACTGAAGCGCGCAGGCGGCTATGGTAAGGGGCGTGACATTTCCCGACCAGGCGCCGAGTGCTGCCAATCACAACACACACTGGCCCAGCTAACCAATCACAGCACACACTGGCCCAGCTAACCAATCACAGCACACACTGGCCCAGCTAACCAATCACAGCACACACTGGCCCAGCTAACCAATCACAGCACACACTGGCCCAGCTAACCAATCACAGCACACACTGGCCCAGCTAACCAATCACAGCACATTTCGTATTTCAGAAGGCGGGCCTTCATGTGATACAGGAACCATTCGAGCCGTTCATGCCAGACTGGGGAGAGAGGTGTTGTAATAATGTAAAATATGTGAAAATTAATGTTTTTCGAACAACCTAGTATGAGAGCCTGTTCTAGTACACCCCCAAAACAAAATCAAGACTTTGTAAAAGAGCATAATAGGACCCCTTTAAACTTAACCAAAATTAGAAATGTTGCCTTAACTAGATGAAATAAAATAAGTTTTATTTCAGTTAACGTTTAATTTATTTTAAGTAACGAAAATGTTTTTAATGGTTTTAGTTTTAGTTTGAATTAACTATAATAACACTGATTCTGTTAATTATATTCAAGCATTTCAGCAGAGATTATTAAGATTCATTAAATACTTAATGTAAAATTGCACTTTCCTTTCATGTAGGTGAAAAACCATTCAGATGCAGTGTTTGTGGGAAGGGTTTCACCCAGAAACACACTCTTTTGGTTCATCAGCGCATGCACACGGGAGAAAAGCCCTTCATCTGCACCATATGTTCCAAAGCGCTGTCCACGAAACACTCGCTACTGGAGCACATGAACCTACACGCAGGTAACACAAATATACCAAACCACTGCCATATACCGCTCATAATACGACCATTCAAATGTATGGGGTCAGTAAGATTATACTTTTATTCAGCAAGGATGCATTAAATTGATCAAAAGTGACAATAAAGACTTTTACATTGTTAGAAAAACTACTTAAAAAAAAAAAAAAAAGTTACCAGCCCCAAACATTGGTATTATCAAGGTAAATGTCCAAAACACCATGGTGCATGTTCAAAAAAACTGAAAAAAAAACTGTACTATCTGATGTTGTCTTTCTACAGAGAATAAATCTTTCAGTTGTGACAAGTGTGGGAAAAGCTTCAGTCAGAAGCGGCAGCTGAAAAGTCATTACCGTGTTCACACAGGAAAAGCGTTACCTGAGTGTGCACAATGCCATCATAAATTTATGGATGCAGCTCAACTGAAGAAGCACCTGAGAACTCATACTGGTAATAAACACATCACATTTACTGCATTGCAACTTGCATACTACTGTGCTGTATAAACCCCACTTTACTGCTGCAGGTGAGAAGCCGTTCACATGTGAGATCTGTGGGAAGTGTTTCACAGCCAAGAGCACACTACAGACACACATCATGATACACAGGTCAGAAACCAACATAAGTTCATTTGTACATTAAGACACTACAGGTGAATAGGGTAAAAATTAGGGATGCACGATATTGGATTTTTGCCGATATCCGATATGCCGATATAACTCTTTTTGGCCGATAGCTGATGCCGATACTGATATATTTCCTTTTGTTTGGAAACAACACCAAGTCTCTCCTGTGTGGAAATTTTTAATTTTGGTTAGTTTTTAACAAGAACTTATTTGTTAGAATTAAATAACCAATAATGAAGTTATTTTATAATGACTTTCATTTTATTAAAAGTAGGCCAACAGCGCCCCCTACGGAATTAAAACTCATTACTGAGCGGGCATTAGGACCCGGGGGAGGCTGCTGCTGCTGCCGCTACACATGCTATTACTATCACACACCTAACGCTTCATTGTGTACAGTTTAAATGCAGCAATCCAAAACACAAAAAAACTGAATCATTCAGGCAAAACTTTGCTTCAAAAATGAGTTACACTGCTGATGTGATCTAATCGCTAGCACACCCTGAGCACATGTGAGTTAACCTATTCCTCTTATCGGCAAGACATATCGGCATAATTTTTCATATCGGGCCGATGCTGATATTTACATTTAAAGCCATTATCGGCCGATTCCGATATTGGTCCGATAATATCGTGCATCCCTAGTAAAAATTTTATGTAACAGATAAATGTAATGTAACAGATATCACCATACTTCCCCATTTGAGTGAGTATATTAAGAATTGCAAACATTTTTGTATTAGTTTTCTGATGTTATTTTTATATATGCAAAGGAGGTATTGTCTAATTAAATGTGCACTCATTTGCATACAATTCCAGAGCAGAAATTCCAACATTGCATGTGTTTAAGTGTTTATTTTATTGTACTTTATCTATTTGCATCAGTAGATTTCAATTACAATATGTATCTTTCCTCAAAATGAGTTTTTTCGCCACTTCAAGATCACTTATATACACTAAACTTTACAGGTTTACTTCTATTCTGGAGGTTTTTACAGAGGAGTTTATTCGTATATCATTTGCCTGATTTTATACATTTTATTCCTAAAACATAGTGATTTTGCCTTTGACAGTATTTTCTGATAAACAGATATTCAAAATCCCCTCTGTAAAACCTTTAACTCTTATATGTCAAAAAAATGAAGCAAATATTTTGAACTTGGCTTTATCTAATGTACAGATCTCAGTTCTGGAAATGTATGCACATTAGTGCATATTTAATAAGATAATGCATAATTTGCATATTTAAACATAACATTTCATAAAATTTGTAATACAAAAAATTGCAAATGCAATCAATTAACTGGGGAATTGTGGTGTGAATTATGGTAAGAGTTTAAATTATGGTAACATTGAACAATAATTATGTTCATTAACTTTTTTTACCCTACTCACCATGTCATGAAATGATCTTTCCCCATCCAGAGGAGAGAAGCCATACGTCTGCAACATCTGCGATAAGACCTTCTCTGACCCCAGTGCCAGGAGGCGTCATGTGGCGTCTCACACGGGTAAAAAACCGTTCACGTGTTCCATCTGCAACCTGTCGTTTGCCCGAATGGACAACCTTAAAGCTCACACCAAGACTCACAACAAGGAGCGTCAACAAGGAGAAGCTGAGACCACGGGGCCTGCGCCGGTGGAGGCCACGTCAAGAGCTGAAGAAATGCACAACATCCTCCAACTCCAGCCCTACCAACTTCCCATCCACCCCGAGCAGGAGATCCAGCTGGTGGTGAACAACATCAACCTGTGCCAGGATCAAAGTATCAGCATCATCACTGCAGAAGATACTTCTGTGGAACAGGGTCTCACGCTTCTCACCCAACCTTCTGGTCACGTTCCAAACCTGGCGCTGGTCACGCCAGATGGATTAGATGCCAGTACTCAAATCCAAACCATTAGTGTTTTAGGAAGTCGGGTGAGTGGCGGACAGCCAGAGCAAATGCATGTCATCACGCTGACCAAAGAAGCCATGGAGCAACTGCAGGTTCATCACGGAGGTCCACAACAGCTGCAGGTGATCCACCAACTGTCTGAGAGCTCTGCTGAAAATCCCAGCCGGACGAGTCCAGCGGGAGGCATTCACATCAGCAGCCAGAGCGGGCAGCCCATCTCCATCAGCCAGACAAGTGAGCAGATCCCCAGCGATCAGATTCAGGGCCAAACCTTCCAGATCCAGGCTGGAACCGTCTCGTACCTCTACACCACCAGCATGACCCCGCAAAACTGAACTGACACAGTTTGAATCCGTCAGGACTCGTTCATAATGCTGATGCTTATTCTCTTTTGTTGTAAATGGTTATATTTTAAGAGAGTAAAGCTGATTTTATTGAGAGCAAGCAGAAACATCTTTTTTTTAAATAATGACTTCATAAAGTATTGCCATTAGGGCTGCACAATTGACAAAAATCATAATTGTCGATTATTCCCTTGAAATTGTAATTGCGATTATTAATTACGATTATCACAATTTACATTGAATGATGTTTATACCATTGTTTGATGCAACTGCATGCCACATTTTTTTGAATGAAAATAAACCAGCTGAAAACACTAACTGAAAAACGTTGTGCTTTTCTATAGTATTAAGCCTCAAATGTCAACTATACATCGGATTGGTTTCTTCTTTAAATTATAAAAAAGTAAAAATATGAATGGCATTATAATGTTATACTAAAATTAAAATAATGGGAAAAAACCTTAAGATAACATGTAGAAAGAAAAAAAACACATCTTAAGCATGCAGAATAACATAAGTGGACTTTGAACGATTAATTGCCGCATCCGAAATTGTAATCGCGATAAGAAATTTGATTAATTGTGCAGCCCTAAATGCCATTATTAATTCGTTTTCTGTACTTGTTAAAATTCAACAAAAGAGAACAAGCATCACCATTATGAACAAGTTTGTAAAAAAAAAAAATAATGCTGATACTTATTCTCTTTTGTTGTAAATGGTTATATTTTAATCAGTCAAGCTGATTAATTGAGAACAAGCAGAAACATATTTTTTTGTTTTTTAAATGACTTCGTTTTAGCCATTCTTCGTTTGTTTTTGTACTTGTTAATGAGACTAAAGACAATAAATGGTTCACATCAATGCGACTCCAAACTATTTGTCCAAAAAACAATTTATTTTAGTGTTACTGTCCAGCATGTCACTGGATATTTGACTCAGTGGCATAAGTTTTTCAACCAGTGCTCATTGCCATAATGCAAAAAATGATTCTATAATAATCTTTATTTTTATATAGCGCCTTTAAAGCAGCTTCTTAAGGCATTTTACATAATAAAACACAGATAAAAATACAACACAAATTAAAAGAACATACTAGAATATAAAATTTAAGATAATCAAGAAAAAGCTAACCAAAAAATTAGTTTTTAAGTAAGATTTAAAAGTACTTAGATTCTGTGTGTCTCTGATATAAGAAGGGAGGGCATTCCAAAGTCTAGGATGAGAAAGCCCTGTCCCCTATAAATCGTAAACTCCAGCAAGAAGTGCATTACAGCAGTCTATGCGGGAAAATACGAAAGTATTAATAAGCCTTTCAGTCGCAGCATAGGACGGAGTCTAGCAATATTTCTGAGATGAAAAAAGGAGTTCTTAGTGTATTTCACATGTTGGACAAAAGACAGGCTTGAATCAAATATAACTCCTAAAGTTTTTAATTTAGTTTGTAACTTCAAAACAGAGCCATCTACAATTTAAATTAGTGAGCCAGCTTTTACGAAGCTGATGAGAAGTGCCAAGCAAGACCTCAGTTTTTTCATTATTAAGTTTTGGGACATCCATGCTTTTATCTCAGAAATACAATGTGATAAGAAAGAAACATCCACGTTTTGACCAGGCTTAGAGCGAGTATAAATCTGAGTGTTGTCTGCATAAAAATAATTAAGCCCAAGTGATCTTAAAAGTAATCCAAGGGGAAATATAGAAATGCTAAAAAGTAAGGGGCCTAAAATTGAACCCTGAGGAACACCAGTAGTGATGACAGACCACTCATGCAGACAAAATATCGATGATCAGAGAGAGATGATCTAGTCCACATTAAAACCAGCTCAGAAACACTAAAAACAGTTTCAAGACGGTTAAATAATAGATTGTGATTGACAGTATCAAAAGTGGCGCTAAGATCAAGGAGAAGAATGGAGAGAGAACCAGAATCTGAGGCTATTAACAGGTCATTGGTGACCTTGATCAGGGCTGTCTCAGTACTGACATTTTCGAAAGCCAGACTGAAGGGGCTCAAAAAGATTATTTATTGTAAGGTGATTGTGCAGCTGCAAGGCCATAATATGTTCAAAGATTTTTTCAAGAAAAGGAAGGTTTAATATAGGGGATAATTAAGTTAATTTCTAATTTCTGTAATGCAAAAAACAAGACATATTAATCATTGTTTTTTTTACTGTAAAAAAATTTCTTTTGCACACAATTATTTTTATTTATAAAATTACAGAAAAATTTGAATGTAAATGTTAAACATTGTAAATGTTAAACATAGCATTTAAAATGTGACTGCAGTACTGAGTAGTGTTATTAATGTTGATGTTTTTGTCATTTATATTAGTTTTTTAAATATGTAAATATGCTTTTTATTAACTTTTATTTCAGTGTTTTTTTTAGTTATTTTAGTACAAGTTAAATTAAATGAAAATAAGATATTTTATAGTTTATTTGATTTCAGTTAATGTTTGTTGTATTTCAAGTAATGAAAATGTTTTCTTTAATGGTTTTAGTTCATTTACTTTTAGTTACCTGGTAAGGCATTGGTCAGATATAAGATATTTGAAGTCCTGCTCCAAAATCAGTACAGTAATGATAGTTTGAGGGAAAATGCAAACAATCTTCATAGTCCTAAAAAAAATTTATTTAGATTTTTGAGTGAAAATGTGACATGCATATGCATCAGATTCACCCCTTAATGGTAAACCATAAGTTTTCATTAATGCACAAATAATCAGACCTGTCAGGGTCATTCAGGTTAGTGCACGTTTAGGTTAGGGTCGTTTGGGCACAAGTAAAAATCTTCAAATGTCTGAAATAAATCAAAAGGTATTAATTAGTGCGGTTCGGGTTATTTACTTGTGACCCAATCTAAGATTCTGGTATGTCAGGTGGTTAGAAGAAGCGTTTCCATCAGGAAGACTGGGTAACAGCGCCTCTGAAATGTCCAGACGAAGACGATTGGAGTTCTGTGAAATAGAACAATGAAATGTTGGAAGAGATATTTAAATTCACACCACATAATTCATGTTCTTTGTGCTATGATCAGACTTTTAGTATTTTTTAGACTTTTGGTTGGACTATTCCTGTAATGCTTGGCATGTTAAATGACTCTTACTACTGAATCAAATAACTCACTGTTTTGGGTCTGTCCAGAGGTGTCCATGACTCTCTCCAACCCATTTCAGTACTGAGCTCATCAGTTGTGTTTATAAAGCTACTGTTTGTAAAAGACATAACCGAGTTGTTCCTGAGCAAACCTGCAATACAACAAGCCACAGAGATGTACAAGTCAAGTTTAGAAGCAAAAAGACAGAGAGAAAACGACTGAGTGATTTACCTGCCGATGCATTTCTTAAATGTAGCCTTCTTGAGGAGGAGCTTTGGCGTCCTTAAACATGAAAAAAGTGAGTGATATAAATAAAAATGCTTCCTTAATGCTAAAAAAGATAACAGGAAATCAATATTGTGAGCACCTGAAGGAAATGCAGATTTACACAATGCTGACTCAAAACTGTGGATCTGACTTTGTAGTGTGTCGACCTGCTGGAACGCTTCTAGTTTCAGGCTCCGCTCCTGATGAAGCTTACCTCTTACCTTCAAAATACAAGATACTTTACATTTATGCATGTGACAGATGCTTTTAACCAGCCAAGTTATATTGCAGTAAAGATATACATTTAATCAGTTCAAGAATTGAACCCATGACCTTGGTGTTGTTAGCGTTGTGCTTTACTGTTTGAACTTTTACAATTAAGACTTTCACAATATTTTAAAAAGTTTGTTTTTATTGTTTGATGTTGAAGTTTATGGCAAAACACTACAGGTGGATATGGTAAAAATTGATATCACTAACAGATACCTCTAAACTTCCCCCAGTTGATTAATCACAGTACATTAAGACAATTGTTATGTATTACAAGTTTCTGAAATATTATGTTTAAATATGCAAATGAGGCATTATCGAAATTAAAAAATGTATAAAACCAGGTTCAAAATTCTTGTTAAATATGTGACGTGACGTGTGGCCAAGTATGGTGTCCATACTCGGAATTTATGCTCTGTATTTATCCCATCCAAGTCCACACACACAGCAGTGAACACACACGCTGTGAACACACACCCTGAGCAGTGGGCAGCCACTTTTGCTGCGGTGCCCAGCCAGAATAAAAATACATTTTCACCGTGTTTTTAGGAATAAAATGTTTTATAGATCAGCTGAATAATATAAGAAAAAAACCCTTCAGAATATCGATAAGAACAAAACTGTTTGGTGTAAGTGCTGCTGAAATGGAGAGAAATGGTCTTTAAAGATATGCATTGTAACGGAAATCTACTGAAGCAAAAAAAAAAAAAAAGTGTGATAAAAAAAAACACTTAAATGTGTATTTTGAATGTGTTCTTTCTACTAGTCTAAAAGAAGACACGTTAGGGAAGCAGATTACCCCAAAATCTAAAAACTCAGCAGTGCATGAAAAAAACAGTGGGTTTGCCTGTAGTCTTAACTTAAAGGGGTCATATGATGCTGCTAAAAAGAACAGTATTTTATGTATTTGGTGTAATGAAATGTGTTTATGCGGTTTAAGGTTCAAAAAACACATTATTTTCCACATACTGTACATTATTGTTTCTCCTCTATGCCCCCGCCTTTCTGAAACGCGTCGATTTTTAAATAGCTCTTCGGTTTGAAAAAGCGAGGTGTGCTGTGATTGGCCAGCTATCCAGTGCGTTGTGATTGGCCAAATACCTCAAGCGTGAGACGGAAATGTTACGCCCCTTGCCATACTGTGATGATGCCCTGTCAGGCCAGAGCGATGATTCAAAAACATGAAAACCCATTATAAACGAGGCATTCGTTGCATCCAGTGGGGACATAATTACGGATTATAATGACTTGTACTGTCTTTTTACTCGTTGCGTTGCATCGCGCTGCGTAAACATAAAACCATGTCTGTATTTGTGATCGGAGAAATGACAAACAACAAGCCCTACTCTACACTGCCCAAAAACTTGCTTTAAATATATAAAATATAAAAACTCTTTAAATATAAAAGACGTACTTATAGTCTGTGAGTCAGAACAGCCGGCATTGTAGTCTACTCTCCCAGGATCAGGAAACAGTCCTCCATAAAATGTGC